CCCTCATATTTGACAGTAATCGTCTACTCGGATGTCCCAGATGAGTGATCTGGACAAAACTTGCTTCGTCGGTCGTCCACTCGAATGTCTGGCCAATCAACCTCCCGAACATTCGGCCGGTCTACTGCCCCTTAATCACTGCTTTGCTCTGTCTACTATGTCCATTCTCAAAACTTGAATGTCTTCTCTCTCTCTCTATATATATATGTATATGTATGACAATTGCAGAAGTGGAAGGTAGAGATCTTAGTTGGATTGGAACTTGAATTTTGGCAATTCAATGTGAAAACAACAGGTACGATTTAAGATCTCAAATTATTAGGAAAACTTAAGTTTTCTTTAATGATTTTATTACAGAGTTTTGAATTCTAGTTTCTGATCATCTATTAGAATTACTAGATTTTGCTTTCATGTGCTCTACCAAAATATATTTCTTCGAATGATTTGCGAATTTTGGCTGCTTCTTTTGAATTTGGAGCTCTGAATTAGTAGATGTTTCTGTGATCATTCCATAGTTGTGAATTTAATACTTTGAAGCCAACATTTATAATTCTCTCTGTCCTGTTTGATTGATTATACCGTATTGTTTCGTTCTTATTTTTTCTATTTTCATTGATGTAATATAATTTGGTCAAATATTACAAAAACTTGTTCTAATCTGTTCATTCAAGAGGACCTGGATGAGTGAATACCATCTCCCAGTTAATCCAAGAAGAAGATGAAAAAGTGAAAGAATAGAGAAAGAATTGATATGGAAAATAAATGAAAAAATAAGTCATAAAATAGGAAATAAATTTTTAATAATATTTTACCATAAAATTTAAGTAAATGGTTAGTGATGCTCTTAAGCATGATTTTTGCATCTGTCACTCCACGCAACCATTAGCCTTAATCTTCTCAGAATACAATAGTAATACTAAATATTTTAAAAATTTTATTGAATGTGTGAGACTCACATGGTGTAGGTCTAATATTTATATAAAATATTTGATAAAAAATTTAATAAAACTTTTGAAATCTTTATCATTTTTCGAAATACAAATAAATGAGTGAGAAAAATGACAAAAAAAAAAATGTAAAATTGCGAAGGGCAATAAGCCTCTGTTTGGGAAGTGGGTTGACTTTTTGATTTTTTTGAATTTTTTACTATTTTAGTCTGGTTTAGAAAGGACTTTTTAACTTTTTGACTTTTTTGACTTTTTTTGTGAGAGAAGAGTATATTGATTATGAGTTAGATTTGATATTTTATTTTTTATGACTAAGATAACCTATTTTATTTTTTGTGACTATTTTAATCCCTAATCCACCAAAACCAACTTCCCAAACTATGCCTAAGCGTCCCCAGTGACTTGCTGCGGCAATGTCTGAGACTTTTCCCGCAAACAAACAAACAGCGAGAGAGAGAGAGAGTGTGTCGGTGCATGTTGAGGGAGAGAGAGAGAGAGAGAGTGTGATCGGGAGAGCGATCACTAATCACGTGGTGGGCATATGGGTGGAGAGACACACGTCCTGTCCATCATCTTCCCACTTGTATGTGGGCGCGTTGTTTGGGAAAGTCTGTGAATATGGCTAAATTAATATTAAAAAGATAAAATAAGTTAATTTAATTAATAAAATAAAATATTATATTTAAATTATAATTATTTTTTTAAAATTATTATATCTAAATAAAAAATTAAAAGTTTTTTCCAAATAAAATTAATTTAATCAAGTTAAATTAATTAAAAAATAAAAAATTAAACTAAATTAATTCATTCCAAAAGGCGGACTTGCGTTGCGTTTGGTTGGTTGGTGCATCACCTTATTGCTCGTGTGTGAAGGGCTTAAATTCCCTACTACATCCACCACCCCTTACCCTCAACCGACTCTAATGTTGTCAACCACTCACTAATTTAAATGATTCCTAATTTTTATTTATTTATTATTACTATTACTATTTTATTCACAAGATTGTTTGGGACTTCGTCTAACTAATCTCAAGTAAGGCTTTGTTTGCCATACATTAATTTAGTCTATTTTTTTATATATTTTTAAATTACATCAATTAATATCTCATCTCTATTTTTTTTGTATTTTTTTTATAAAAAATTAAAAAATATATTTATTTCAAACATTTCAAATCACCCTGAATATAATTTTATTTCACATGTAGTACTAAACAATTTTAAGCCTATATAGTTTAACAATGACCTCAAACAAAAGTCAAAAGAATAAAACTTTATAACAAAAGAGCACAAAAGTCAAAGAATAAAACTTTTTTGTTTTTTTTTATAAGTCACGTAAATAAGTGCTCCAAAACATTTAAGAAAATGACCCACAACACGTTCAATTATTAAGAAAATGACCCACAACACGTTTAATTAGGAGAATTGTTTTTTAAAATTCTTAATATTAAGATTTTATACAATAAATAATACATAATATTTTTATAATAGTTAATATTTTTTAATATTTTTACAAAAAAATTTTAATTCAGAGAAATTTCAGTTCCAACACAGAGAAATTTCAATTTTCATAAAGAAAATTCTCTGATTTTATGGAGAAATTTTAAAATTTCTTTAGTATAATCACATAAATTTTTTATTAAGAGACCTTAACTAATAAATTTTTTTTTTTGAATCTCTCCTACTCTATAAAATTAAAAAAGAATGTTTCACTACTGTTCCTTTTAACTTATTTCAATACCTTTTTCATTGAATTCATAGCTTTTTAAAAATAAAAAATAAAAAAAATCTATTTTCAAATCACTTTTCATCCTATTCCAATATTAACATTAAAAAATGAATTTATATTGTCAAAGTACTTATCATCACTTTTTTTTTTTTTTCCTTCCCCTAACCTATTTATTCCTATTAATGTGAACTTTCTTTTTTTAATCGATTGAATTATTGGATTTTTTTAGCATTTTGTTTTATATATATTTAACATGGTTAATTAGTATTAATTCTTATAATAATTTTATATATTTATCACCTCTCTAATTTTTTCTCCTTTTATTTTATATTATAATTTAGATTAAGAGTAATGATTGAGACCCCCACTCCCATGACACCCTCACAAAACTTCCACAAATCTGAACCACTCATGATGTAAACCACACACATACATGAGTGTGCCCCACACATATATGGTGGGCCTGGATTACTTTGAGAGTGTGTGTGTTATCTTCAAAGGAGGTCCCAAATATTTTCCAATTATTTTAGATAATTTAGTTACAAGTCCTATTGGGTGAAAGTTGTCCTACGGTAAGTCTCACGTATAATTTTTTATTTTTGAGATTTTTTTTTTCAACTATTTTTTATTGATAGATGATTTTGCTCTCAATCGGAAGAAGCTAACGTGGAGTGTTTTGAAAAGTTAGTAAAAAGTTGACTTTTTTAATCCATTTTGTCTTTTTATGGGTAAAAAATGTGAGATATAATGTGACAAAAAATGGATAAAAAGCTAAAAATTGACTTTTTACCCTCTTCTCAAAAGACCCCACAAAGGGTCTGATATGCTGATGTAATGAAATTATATTTTATTTTTATATTTTAAACCTTAAAATATCATAATTTTCATATTATATTTTCATTTTTTTATAAAATTTATATTTTTAGAACCTACTCATTCAAATTTGTCAAATAAGATTAATATTAAATATAAAATTATATAAAAATAAAAAAATATTTTTTTTTTGTGAAACAACTATATGAAATTAAGAATTTTATTAGTTTTCTCAGTTTTATACAAATAAAAAAATTAATATTCTAATTTTATAAATTTTAAATTTATCATGTTTGATAGATCTCATTCTGTAGATTCCATAAATCTAAATTTAATTAAACGTAAATATGTATAATAAAAATTATGAAATTTTAAAATTTTAAAACAATAAAAATAAAAAGTGAATGCCATATCACCATTGTGAAGTGTGCTCATTTCATTTAGAAAAACAAAAATGCTTTATACCCCTACTTGGGGGTCGACCCCCAATGAGGTGGAGGCCCGTGATTAGACGAAAAAAAATTATTATTTTTTTTGATTGTCAGCCCCTGAGGGCGCGCCACTTCATGCGACCCTCACTGGGGTATTTAGGAGGGCTCTTTAGAAAAATTTATTTAGTACTCCTGGTACAGTTAGGTAGTGTCTTATAAAAGTTGTGATTGATAAGATGAGGAGACTCATAATTTTATATTGTGGCATTGGTATGATATTTGGTCGATGGTATTGTCATATGTATGTTTGGAATATCCAATAATTTTTTTCTTAGGTACAAATTTTTACACATGCGGATAATTCTAAAAAAAAAGAGAAAGTAATAGGATTTTCTTATAATAAAATATTTTGAATAGGACCTAGTCTAAAAAATTCTATAAAAAGGAATTTTTAATTAAATAACCCTATTATTTTTAGTAAATTTTATAAATTTTTCTTTATTCATTAATATGATTTATTGACTCTCATTTGAAATTTCGAAGTTTAAAGTAGCAACACAGTTTGCAAAAGGTTTTAGTTTTGAATAATGCTTGGGATCCCCTTTTGGGGGTCACCCCCTCACCCCCCTTTGCCACGTGGCAGGGGTGATTGGTGGAGCATGAAAAAAAAGAAAAAGAAAAAGAAAAGGTAACCGATAAGAGAGAGAGGGGGTCAAAGGGGTGGGGGAAAAGGAGGATGAATCATTACTCTTTAGTTTTATAGCTTTTTTCCTCAAAAGATAAACTCTCATATAACAGGTCGCGTGTCATCCTACCATTGACCACTGCTCTCCGATTGTAACTTCTACCAATTTTCGGATAGCAGAGGAAAATCTTAAGTCTTGCACCTTCCCGTCCAGCTAACCCACAACACATATTTACCAAAAAGCCCCTCTCAATTGACAAAATTACACGTTCACCCCCTCTTTTTTTTTTTTGAATCCGCGTGAATCCTCTCCTCTCTCTCTCTCTCTCTCTCTCTCTCTCTCTGCTTTTTCGGTGTTATATAAACTTCTCTTCATTAGCATTATTATTGATGGGCACGTATACTTATCACTCTCTCTCTCTCTCTCTCTCTCTCCCTCCCTCCATGCTTATCATTCTCTTATAGGTCTAATATTTATTCAAATCCCAACTCAAACAACTTCACAACTCTTCTTCCGTACAGAGAATGAACTTCGAACCCTGATTTCTCATTCAGATCCGTAGTAGCTAACTATTTTTCTACTCAGAAATCAGGTTCAATCAAGTCACTCTTCTTTGTTCTTCTTAAGTTCATTGTTCTTTTAAGATCTGTTATGTTTGAACTGTTATTTGAATACTTTATCACTTGATCTACATTAAAAGGTTTCATATGTAGCTATTTGCTCTGTTTTTGTGCAAACTAAATTTTGCAAAGCTTTGTGCTTGAAATTACTTGTTTTGATGTGGTCTCATAATTGTGGATTTGGTAAAGAAACTGGCTAGGTATTAGACATGCAAAGGTAGTGGCATTAATTGATGAAATTTTGAAAGCTGGCTATTTTAACATGTTTGTAGGTAGTATAGTTCAAATTAAGGCAATTTTTGGGAAATTCAATTTACTGAAAATTTGAAGATGTTTAATGTTGAATGGATCTATTTGAAATTGTTTATTTTCTCGCCATTTTCCATCAATCTGGCTATGTTTGGTTTCTTGAAGATTTGCATCTGTATGAGTGTATGTATATGCCATGCTTCTGTCTTCCCAGTCAGAGACCGACGATCTAATAATTGAGTAATTTCTGTGATGATCATGTTAAACATGTCATTAACTTTCTTTTGAGGGAGAGTAACTCTGGGACGAGCTGTAAACCCTGGACGTCTTGAGTTCGATTCCCACCCCCAGCTGGATTACTAGCGGGCCGCTGCTTCTTAGTCCGTCCATCGGCTCAGGACCCTGAGATTAGTTGAGGTGCATCCTAAAAAACGCTGGCCTGGATACTCAGTTATCCAAAAAAAAAAAAAACCTTCTTTTGAGTAACTGACATTTTCCTGTGGTGGATAGATAGCGATCCTACTAAAAACCCCATTATATTTTAACTTTTCAGAATAAAATAGTTCTAGAAATCAATATCCATAAATGAATGTACATATATGTACATCAAAATGTTTGCATATGCGTTTGTGTTGGAAAAGTTACATGTAACAATTATTTTCTAGCACAATGTGTGTTTGGCTATGCTACTCGGGCTCTTCAAAATAAATCAAATACCTGTATCGGACACCCAACCCTTGGATAAAGGTATGGGATATGTGTCAACTACTTTTCAACGGACACTTCTTATATAATTGTATATAACACTATTATTATATGTGTATAATTGCTATAAATATCTTTTTGACATTGTAAGTTATATATAATATCATTTTATCTCACATACTTGATTAAAAATATAAAAATATAATATTTTTTTGCCGAGTTCACGTACCCTTGAATTTATGATTTGATGAGTCCGACTTCTAGACACATACTTGCACCCGACATCCGTACCCAAGTTCATGTAGCATAGGTTTCAGCAATGAAATGTTCAACCATTTGGATCCATTAAGTGGCCACCTACCTTAATAGGAGCTTCTTATTCCTTAGAGCGGACATTCTATGGGATTTAGGTGTTAATTCAGAATTCTGTTTTGTTATTTTATTTGCGTTCATGCACTGATTCGTTTGTCAACTTCTATTTAATTGTTTGTTGGAATTAATACATCTGTTGCATTGCAGGGAGTTCGTTAGTTTTTTTGTTTTTCTTGTTTGTAATTTTCTTATTCTCTGTGTTTACTTTGGCCTGGCCAGGTGTACGATATAGAGATTGCGTGCCCTGAAATATGGCTTTAGGAAAATATTCCCGAGTGGATGGGAGGAAATCATCAAGTTGTTGTTCGACCATTACAGTCGTTGTGTTTGTTGGTCTTTGTTTGGTTGGAGTTTGGATGTTCATGTCGTCATCTGTTATTGTTCCTGTTCAGAATTCAGAGGTGTCTTCTCAGGAGACTAAAACTGAGATGAAACAAAAAGTAACTGACAATGTTCAAACTAACCATTTTGAAGATAGTCCAGGTGATTTACCAGAGGATGCAACGAAAGAAGAAGGTAGCCTAAAAAATGGTCGGGATGACATTGAAATTAATACATCTGAAGAGGAAACGAAGAGAGAAGCTGAAAATGATGGACAAGGAAAAAGGGAAGAGTCGGAACCCAATTCAGATGGTGAATCAAATTCAGAAAATGTTGAATCCAATTCAGGTGGTGGGGACTCAAATTCAGGAGATGGAGATTCCAATTCAGAAGGTGGTGAGACTAGAACAGAATCACAGGAAAATACAGAGGAAACAAAGAATGAAGATAAAGCTGACAGTCAGACTGAAGAGAAAATTGAAGAAAATCAAGATAGGGATTCGGAAGAAAACTCTGGTGAAAACAAGATGGAAGACCAGGGCGGAAATGTGATTTTCCCTGCTGGATCCCAGTCTGAGATTTTGAATGAGACTACTACCCAAAATGGGCCTTGGTCAACCCAGGCTGTGGAGTCTGAGAATGAGAAGAAATCACAAAAATCTGTGTTGTCGAAAGATCAGAACGAGTATAAGTGGAAGCTCTGCAATGTAACTGCTGGGCCAGACTATATTCCCTGTCTTGACAATATCCAAACTATCAGAAAACTTCCTAGTACAAAACACTATGAACATCGAGAGAGGCACTGCCCAGATGAAGCTCCAATGTGCCTTGTTCCTCTACCAGAAGGATACAAACAGTCAATTAAGTGGCCTAAAAGCAGGGAAAAAGTATGTCTTATTTATGCTAATTATATAGAAAAACTGTTGGCAGTTGAAATTTTAGTCTGGCTTAAATGGGATATTCTGTCACATTTTGCAGATATGGTACTATAATGTTCCCCACACAAAGCTTGCAGAAATTAAGGGGCATCAAAATTGGGTTAAAGTTACTGGAGATTACCTTACTTTTCCTGGTGGTGGGACTCAATTTAAGAATGGTGCCCTTCATTACATTGACTTCATCCAGAAAGTAAGTCTTCATAGTTAATTTTCCAAGCTGCCTTATTCTGTGTAATATCTCATTGCTGGTTCTGTCATGAAACTTTTTCTGTATTTACACATGATTTTGTGTCTGCTTTTGTGTATTATTGCTATTCTCTGGGTTCCACAGTTGAAAAGTAGAGAAAGGAATTTATTCATTATTGTAATATGTTTCTATAGTTGCATGCAGTTTATTTTGTGCAAACTTTTAGGGAGAATATAAGTATTGTTGTAGTAAAAATATTGCATAGTCTCCTAGGGGACACCCATCAGCTTAGATCGCATTCCCCCAATGAAGAGAGTCAAAGCTCGAGTTTCCTTATGTTACTTGTCAATAATAATAATAATTTTAAAAAAAAACCAAGTTATAGTGTGAGTTGTCACAACTGCTTAAGATGCCCTACGGGTGTCCATCCTACTATTATCTATATGTGTGAGCATGCTATACGTACAAACTTGTGCACAATTTTTGACCAAAGGTTCATAGCTCGCACTAGCCATGAACCCAAAAAAAACAACCCGCCTCTTCCCTCTGGGTTTTTAATGGGCTATTGACAAGATGACATAGATGGAGCTGCATGCATCTATGGAATATATATGTATTTACATTACACATATTTCGATAAATCTGTAATTCTATATATTCTGTATGAATACTTGGGACATACTTTATTTCTACACTTAAATGGACTTCTTTTATGTATATTTCTGCATTGTTTTTGAACTTTATCTGAGGACAAGCTCAATGCATGAAAAAAGAAAATTATAAGGAAAAAAATAATGGGAATCCCAAAGATTCTTGTGGGAATCCTAATCTTGTTTGCATGAATAACATTTTGATATTTTGTCCAAAATGCAGTCTCTTCCTCAGCTTGCTTGGGGTAAACAAAGCCGTGTGATATTGGATGTTGGGTGTGGGGTGGCTAGCTTTGGAGGATTTCTTTTTGACAGAGATGTGCTTGCAATGTCATTTGCTCCCAAGGATGAGCATGAAGCACAAGTGCAATTTGCACTTGAAAGGGGGATCCCAGCAATATCAGCAGTCATGGGTACCAAGAGACTACCCTTTCCCAGTAAGGTCTTTGACATTGTCCATTGTGCCAGATGTAGAGTCCCTTGGCATATTGAAGGTACTGTTTGTTTTTCTTTGATCTAACGGCTCTGATTTATCACTGATTAGTTTTGGGCTTATAAATTCATTTTAATGGGCACTGCAGGTGGTAAGCTTCTCTTAGAATTGAATCGTCTCTTGCGACCTGGTGGGTACTTTGTGTGGTCCGCTACTCCTGTTTATAGAAAGGTGCCTGAAGATGTTGGAATTTGGGAAGGTAGACTTAATGTGAACCTATTTTATGTTTGAGAAATGGAGTTGTGAGATTGATGTTAACAGCTTTATTTTTAAAATTCTTTGTTTTGTTTTATTTTGTTTATTTCATTGTGAAAATTTATGGCAGCTATGACTGAACTGACGAAGTCAATGTGCTGGGACCTGGTAGTGATTAACAAGGATGAGTTGAATGAAGTTGGTGCAGCTATATACAGAAAGCCAACTTCCAATGAGTGCTATGAGAAAAGACCGAAAAATGAGCCTCCATTGTGCAAAGAATCTGATGACCCAGATGCAGCATGGTACCGTTTTTTTTAACCTATGTTTTTTTTTTTTTTTTTTTTTTTTTTTTTTTTTTTTTTGTTTCAATGATAGCATGGTGGCAAGGGTTATGATTATTGGCTTAGTACACATAATATTAGAATAGAAACCCAAGGAATTTATTGAATTACAAATGTTCAAGAAACTGATGAGAGATGTTCAAACATCAAAATCGGTGAGTATATATATATATTATTACATAGATACTTAAAAAATGTGTGTTTTATTACATAAGAAAGAAGTTCACCAGATGAACTGCTGGACATGACCGTCATGGTACTCTATGTTACATTACATGATTCAGGTCCATCTAGTTCTCATGTCAAGGACACTAGGACATAGCTAGATTTGATATTTCTTAATTTTCTGAGGGTAAATTGATGTTTACAAACTAAAATTGTGCCTTGTATGCATTAAATATAAGTACTTTGTATATAATAAACTCGATTATTTATACGTACTTATTGTTATTGGGTGCCTATGAAACAAGGCAAATGGGATATCAGACCCAAGTGTCAAGTATCCAACAAGGGTATTTCACAAATTTAGATGAGTCCATGTTGCATAGATGGAACTTCATTAGTTTGATATTTGGTAATATTTTGAATGCGTCCATAATTTGTATAAATTAAGATTTTTTTTTTCTTTGCTGTCATGTAGTCTGATTTGTCGAGGAAAATTTTCTTGTATGTATGTTTGGATTTTCAAATATGCTGACTGTATTGTAAGTCAAATTTAGAGAAACAAGTTGGTATAATCCAAAGACATTTCCTGTCTGTGGAGACAGCAATGCATGTTAATCACTAGATCTTTGAGGGAAAAAAATTAGACATAATATAAATTAGCCTTCCTATTTGAGCAATGCTATGGCTCCCCAAGGTCTCCATTTGGCTGCTGGCAGATATTTTCAATAGTAGAATCATTGTTCCTTGCATTACTGTTTTACTGAGTGAATCTTCCTAAATATGTGTGTCCATTGTTTTTATTGACTATGTATTCAGGAATGTACCGCTTCAGGCATGCATTCACAAAGTGCCAGTGGGTGCGTCAGAGCGTGGGTCACAGTGGCCAGAACAATGGCCACTAAGGGCGGAGTCAGTTCCCTACTGGTTAAAAAGTTCTCAAGTTGGAGTTTATGGTAAAACAGCTCCAGAGGACTTCTCTAATGACTATAAGCACTGGAAACATGTGGTGTCCAAGTCATATTTGAGTGGCCTGGGAATCAATTGGTCTTCAGTGAGGAATGTAATGGACATGAGAGCTGTATATGGAGGGTAAGAATGTGATGTTTTTATCTAGTTTTTCCACACAAGTTTGTATGGCTTGAATATTGTTTTTTGTTTAGTGAAATGATGAGCTTAATCCCTGTTGTGGCACATTGAATATGGAATAGGATGAACCATGACGTTGTCAATTAGAGAGAATATGAGTTCTTTCTTTTGACTATCATTGTGGTTATTGCTTTTCACTGTTATTGCTATCATTTCTGTTTTTGTTTCTATCCTGTAATTATTTTGGACTGTATCCTGATTATGCTTTCTTTCTGCTTTTAGGTTTGCTGCAGCTCTGAAAGATCAGAAGGTGTGGGTCATGAATATAGTCCCAGTCAATTCACCAGATACACTTCCAATAATATTCGAGCGTGGTTTATTTGGAATGTATCATGATTGGTGTGAATCATTCAGCACTTACCCCAGATCTTATGATCTTCTTCATGCAGACCATCTCTTCTCTGATCTCAAGAACAGGTTTATTTTCTTATGTAACTCTTTCCTTGGAGTTTTACTCAGCATTCATCCCCAGCCCTTGCTGTTAACTTAATTTGGGGATGGTTTTCTGTCTGCAGGTGCAGCGTACAGGCAGTGATGGCGGAAGTTGATAGGATCCTAAGGCCGGAAGGACATTTGATCATACGGGATAAGGTTGAAACCATAGGTGAGTTGGAGAGCTTGGCTAAATCTCTACAGTGGAAGATCCGATTGACATTTTCAAAGGACAATGAGGGATTGCTTTGTGTTCAAAAGGCATATTGGCGTCCCATAGAGATACAGACAATTAAGTCAGCCATTGCGTAAGCAAAATGCTCTTAATTGTCACCACTAAGTTTTTTTTTGCTGCTGTATTAAAAAAACTTTTGCTTGTTCCACTACATTTTATTTCAAGGATGTAATAGCCATAGTTTCTTATAACCCTCTGTATTATTTGTATTAGGTTGATTACTCTTTCCATAAGGTACCCCTCAGCTTTGCCTCGTTTATTACCTTTTTTGCTCCCTTAAATTAGAGGGATCAGGTTCAGGCTCAGAGTTTGAAATGTAATAGCACACTATATTATTATATAAATTGATGAATCTAATTTGGTTTTTGGAAGTTCACACATTTTTACTATTGCAATAATTGCTTGTCTTCTATGTAAAACTGCAATGGTGATTCTAGCTGTATTATAGATCCAGAAAAATTTTGATGTTTACCTGCGAATTCACTTGTCATAAAATTCTTGTAATCGTCTGAAAACAGTCGTCTGACTTGTTTCTTGAAATCTCTGTTTACGACACTGCATATTTGCCAACATACCTGAAAAATTCTCAACCATTTTTTAGTAACTCTTTTCCTCATATTTCACTAGTTACTGGAAAATACCTGTTTCTTAATACATCTGAAAATAATTTGAGTTTCTTCTGACAAAATATTGACTTCTAAGTTCTGGCAGCTTAATTTAACGTATAGGATAAATTACAAACACACCCCTCTGACAAATTACTTTCTATGATTTTAGAAATTATATTATGCCTTCTAAGGCTTTTAATTTTATAACAAATAGGTCATTTTCTTAATAAATCATCAAATTAATTAACATTTTTTAATAATATTAAAATTTTATTTTAATTAATAATTCAGATAATTTTATTATTGTATAGGTGAATAATTAGAAATTTCATTTTTTTAATTAATTCTGTTAAATAAAAAATTCTGACGGAGAGGTATTTGTAATTTTTCAAATCACAGGGAGTAATTTGTATTTTAAGTAAATCTCAGGAGTGTATTTGTAATTTACACTAAAATTATATTGTAGATTCAATGTTGAGGGTGCCTCTATTTACACATCATAATTTATCTCAAGGCAAACCACTTCTAAGAGCACACCTTTAATAATTTGGTAAATATATATTTTGTTCATCACACACCACAAATTTACATATTTATCCTTACTCACACACCTATCCACAACAATATACACACAAACTCCCATATTTACCCTCACACATCCTCACACACCCACCTTCTTCCATCTTCACCCTCCATTCTCAGTTTCAATCGGTGAACACTGTGTTGGTTCTCAACACAGAGTTAAGCAGTGGTGAAGACGTCGTTGGTGCTCAAGTAAAGCAGTAGGTGAGTTCTCATTCCACGGATGCACAGTTCTGAAAAAAGGAAAAAAAATAAATTTATAACTGTTCCACAGTACAGAGTCGAACAAATGTAAGTTGTTCGATTGTAGTTTGTCGAACAGATGTAAGTTGTTCAATTGTAGTTTGTCGAACAATGACATATTTTTCACCTCTAGTTAACCGAACAACGATTTACCACTCATAAAATGAAAGCGAAGACAAAAACAACAAAAAAGAACCTTTTCATTGCTCCATTGTTCCGAATGAGAATTGTCAGATGCATCTTTCATTGAATCCAATCAAAATCTTCAATAATTCTATATTTTTGATTATTTGTTGAAGGGTTTTGACCTTGGTTCTAGGATTTTTAAATTCTTGACAGAGAAGATATGTAAGGAAGAAGTTTGAAATTGATAATTTATATTATATTTATTCTTGTCCATTATGGTAAATACACAAATAGTGTGTATCATAACTTGTCCTCTATAGTCATTTCACTTAAGGTTAAAATTGTAATAAAAAATAAATTAATTAATGGTTTGCCTTGAGAGGGAAGGTGGTGTGTAAATAGAATGACCCCAATGTTGATGGTAATCTTGGAGTTCCTTGTTCTTTTATGACATAAAGGCCCCCAATAGTCCCCAAATCAATTTGCTAAAGGGCTTAAATGGGACCAGCTAGCTGATCAATTTGTGTAGCAGTTCTGCATAGTAACACATGTGGAGGAATCTGTAACTGTTTTCCATACATGATTGAAATTAACAATGATCTGACTGAATTCAGTTTTTAATGATTTTCCTGGATTGTTAATGTTGGAAAGTAATGACATCATAATCTTAATAGGAGAAAAAGCAAACTTCATCATCAAACTCAGCCATCTGTTGATCTGCACTTCTATTATTAAAATCCTCTTGAATTACTGCTCTTGAAGCTTGGACATAAGAATATCTCAGGTGTGGTTAGAAATTTGAGGTATACTAGAAAGAATCAACGGCAATGACCCCAGGGGCAACTTTAATGATTTTTGTTCGATAGGTTTTCCAGGGAGAAAGGATGGATTTGAGCTTTCAAAATCTTGCCCGTGCACATCTGGTAACACACGATGATCCTGGATTTACAATACCAGTTTTTTTTAATATTATTTTTAATCGAGCTTTCTAGATTAGATCCAATCTTCCGGTCTTTCATTCACTATTCAAATGACTGGACCAGTAGAAATGTAGGCCCTGTCATTTCCTTTTTCCTTTCTAACTAGTAGTTTAGGAGTGCCTCAGGCTCTCAGCTATCAAGTATACCTTGATTTATGTGAATACCTAAACTTAATCACCTGATAAAGAACTGATTCGTGGTGTGACTCAATTTAGTGATTGCGCAATTCCTTGCTTGATGATTCAACAATCGAGTTTTTTTGTTTGATCTCAACTGGTCTACCATTTGACTCTTCAGCTACCCTGCTTATCCTTTGCTGATCAAATGAATGGTCTACGAGTGATTGATCACAAACAAAATTTCAGTTTATTTATTTTTTATTTTGGACAATACTTCTAAATTAACCCAGATGGGGACCCGTCACTGCCACCAGATTTTATTCTATGATTTCTGGTTAGTTGATAGTTTGATTTTGGTCTAAAAACTGACAAGGTCAGATCTGGGATATGAAAATTTTAAAAGGTTACTTGAGGAATTTTGGTGTTATTGTTTTATTTTTGTCCACTGATTTTACTTCTGCAGAATTCTCAAACGTGTTAGTACATAGTAGTTATCAAACTTCTTAGACGATAAATTGAAGATTGTGTTCAAGTTGTATGCCCTGAAAAAGAAGGAAAGGAGAACGGAATAGTTTAAAAGAGGGTTAAAAAAAATGAAGGAAGAAGAATGCATTCACTCTTGGGAAGGCTTGAACAGGGGTAGAGGATATGTGAACGACTATGACTTTATAGCCATAACTGGTTGCACAACCAGTTTGTTATTAGATTTTCTGTTTTGAGAAATATGTTTAATTTATTTGTTAAGGTACTATTTACCATACCCACAAAGTAATATATATAAATATTTGTTATATTTAGACTTTGAGCATTTAGGTTTTCAGCTAGAAAGGGTATGGAGATTTGTATTGGCTCAATTAGAAAGGGTTTAGCTTTAGTGATTTGTAGAGTTTCAAAACAAAGAAACATTGTTGTTTCAAATCCTTGTTAGTACATACATAAAAGCCTACATTTGTGTGTTCTGACATTGTCGTTAACAATATTTTTGTTTACTGACTTCACTTGTTACTTTTGATGTATAAAATCAAATTAGTCAATAAGATATAGACCATTTTGTGTCTGTAACATTGGACCACCACTTCGATAGGGGTGCAAAATCCACCTCCTTCCAACTCCTCATGTCTTAGAAAAGTCTCTATGTAAGTTATCCTTCATCCGACATTCCTCTAACTTCTATGATTTAAAAACTACCTGCAATTTGAGGACCACCAGTAAGTTTATTTAAGTGCTGTCTTCATTAAAATAATGGCTAGTCACCTTGTTCATGCACTCCACATGATAGAAAAGACTTGTGTGTTTTGTGATCTGTCTTGGTTCTGTATTTGATCTCTTTAAACCCTTAACATTTTCCCCACCAGAAGTTCATTTTAGAGGCTTTTTTCATTTCCTAACCCACCTCATCAAAAACCTAGGAAGAGGTTGTTGGGAATCTATTATCTAGTGCGGCTCTTTATTTTGTTTGGCTTTTATTTGATATTTTGTATTCATATTTTAGAAATATACGAAGTAAAAATAAAAAAATATGAAACGACATTCCAGTTTTCTCGAGAACAAGAAAGAAAATGAAATTTTGGAGAATAACCAGTGCAAATTGTGAAGGTTGTGTTTAGGATGGAACCAGAGTTGGTACTGATAGTGCTGTGCTTTTACCAATAAAGGGTGCCCAAGAGTGAACAAAATGGCGTGTCCATATCACGACCTTTTCAATGAAATATGATGATATCCCACTGGCTCTATTGATAATTGTTATCTTTTTTCTATTAAACAATTTTCTTTGTTGGTAAGAGTAAGTATACAAAAGTGTCAAGATGCTTCTTTTTGCACTTCTAAAAAATTCTTAAACCTTTTTTTAACAAGGTTTGTCTGGCTTCTGAGCTAACTGAATATGACTAAAAGACCTCTCTCCTCATGTTTGCATGATTGAAATTGAAGAGTAGATATGTTAGTGTTTAGGTGGATGGGCTGTAAGGGTTTCATGTCGGATTTTTTTTAATGACACATTCTTGCTTGGAATTTGTTTAATGGTGGCTTGTATTATGCATATTATCATACATCCATGCTTAGGAAAATGCAATATAGCAGATAAATTGATTGTTTGAGTTGATCGATTTTGTTTGAAAGAGATTTTTTGTTTATTGAATGGTGAATCTTGACCGGTGATCCACATATTCCATGTTGCATGTGAATAGATGTCATGTACCACATACCCAATTCCACAATATGTTGGTGTTGTTGTTGTTGTTTCCATGGATCCAAAATGTGCATCTTTTATGAAACTTAGTCAACCGTTGTCATGTATGATGTGAAATATTATCACGTAGCATGTAGAGATCATATATATATATATATGCATTTATATTTCATATCATCTAAGTGGCAGTGCTGATTGTTAAGGTCTGGAAGAAGATTTGTTAGCAGAATTAGAGTATTAAAAGAACTATTGTGGGGTCTAATATGAATGACAACTTCCTTAAATTTCTTAATCTGCTCAGACATTCAGGTTTTACTTTCTATTAGATAATGAGGGAAACAACATGAGCTGCTAACAGTTTTTGAATTGTTTAATTCTCCATTGTCTGCCACTGGCACATCTTTCCTCAAACAAAACAAGTTGGCAGCCTTCATACAATGCTCAACATGTCTGCTTCCTCAAGTTATCAAAAGCCATCTCTGAAAGTTAAAGGAGGGATCTGAGCACTTCTCTAGAGTACTCAACATGTCAGGT